GTCCTCTCATAGCATTCAAAGTTGGTTATGTTTCATAACATGCAATTTTAGAAAATATTCATGAAACGTGTACATGCAAACAAACGCAGTCTTGGTCACAAGAAATTTAGAGTAAGCTATATAATATTTTTATCACTACTTAGTATAACCCTCATTTAGTCGGCGCGGAGCACCGGCGTGGCCACTGGCTGGATCTGCTGAAATTTTTTTTTCCTTGTACGGCCGCCGGTGCTTACCTCTCATCCTTCCACTAGTGGCTTGGAGAGGACTGTACGTGAACCAAAATGGAAGAGAAAAAGAGAGTTATAGATTGCTTTGCTGACTAGAATTATGCAAGTAGCAATTTACAAATTGGCTATGACATCCAAGCTATCAAAGTATTGAAACTAATTGACAAACTAATGACCTCCAAAATAAGTTACAAAAATAAGTTACATATATGGTCAACTCCTGCATAAATTTAGAATGGAAATTATGAACACATTAATTATCAACTCCACCAAATGCAACAAATTTGCTGACCCATTCTAAAGTTGAGGGATTCTCATTGGAGAAATCAAAAAAGTCATCCAAATCAATTCTGTTTTTTGAGTCCTCAGAAGGTCCAGTAGCATTTGATTTAGCTGTGTCAATCTTTTCTCCCATTGGCTCTTCACTCATGGAGTCTTCTTGTTTTCTTGAAATTCCTTCATTTGACTTCTCAATCTTCTTGCTCAAATGGGATTTCCAGTAATTCTTAATCTCATTGTCTGTTCGACCGGGTAATCTTCCCGCAATCAACGACCATCTACAACCAAAGTCAGCAATGAAAAACTAAGTCAAAAACTAAGTCTCGCTCTCAATAAATTTAAGGTTGGTCGATTAGATGTTGACAAGATCAAATGATTGCCAAACCTGTTTCCTAGGAGTTTGTGAAGTTTGAGGATCAAATCCTCCTCTTGGTCAGACATACTTCCTCTCTTGATGTTTGGTCTGAGATAATTCATCCATCTTAGCCTGCAACTCTTGCCACACCGATTCAGTCCTGCATATACACGTATATATATATATTGAGAATTTAATTGTTCAAGCTAATACGTATATACTGATGAATATATAATTTGACCTGTGGTGGTGGCAATGGTTTTCCACCTCTTTGGGCCGTGGATTTCGACGGCTTCCACCAGTTTCCGATCCTCTTCCGCCGTCCATGCTCCCCTGTTGAATTTGTTCTTCGTTGGTCTCAATTTCTCAGCTTTTGTGAGCGCCATGGACAATTTCCTGGCCTTAGTTGATGCACTTGTGCATTGCACTCCAGGGACTTGGATTTATATATTGGGGGTAGACTAATTTTCACGGGTATATATATATATATATCGGGACCGTTCCTCCTACCCATTAATTTGACAAGTATTTTTGACAAATAATCGTAACCTTTAATTTAATTCAATCCAACGCTCAAAATTTATCAATTAAGGTAATTAAGGGTGTTTGGAAGTAAGTTTAAGAATTCTATGGTATTTTAATTGATAAATTTTGAGCGTTGGATTGAATTAAATTAAAGGTTACGATTATTTGTCAAAAATACTTGTCAAATTAATGGGGGGTAGGAGGAACGGTCCCATATATATATATATATATATATATATCTTCAAAAATGTTCTTAGAGATGGGTGTGCACGTAACTCTCAATAGACAATCAGGGGGCAGACGCAGACAATTAAAGTTAGTGGGGCACAATCCAACTTGCAAAAAAGTTGGGAAAAATTTTACAAACGAAAATTTACATCCAAAAAAATCATACCCCATGTAATTTTGCGTATGAAAATTTATATTGAATATGACTTTTTCGAATGAAAAATTTCTAAAAATTTTGATGTCATACCCCATATAAATTTCCTAATAAAATAATGTAAATTAGATTGAGAAATTTGTATCATAAAAATAATAAATATTAATGAAGTAATTAATTTTTTAAAAAAATGCGAGT